CGAAATGCTATGCTCCTTCGAGGCTGTAAACTGACAGATCCACTGCATGGCTGATTCAGTGTATTACGTTTAAAAATGATGTACCGATTGGTGTAAGTTACAAGTAGGTCAAAGCCAAAGTTAAAACCTGTCCACCGCCAGCAGTATTCACCATCTTTGGCAAGTTTTCTACCACACTTCATGCTGTTTCCCTCTAGTTCTTCTTTATTGATTTCCAGAGGCCCCACTTCACTGTCCTGTTCTGCCCGCAGCATAGCAAGCCGCTGCTGTTTATATACAGAAGACAGCCATTCTGACGGTACTAAAGAATCTTGCTCAATAATCCTTGCAGAAGCCAGATCACTGATGATATACTGCAGCCTTAAATGTCTAAACACTGACATGAATGGTTTCCCTTGCTCAGTTTCAAGGAAGGCCATACTTTCAAACTCCTTTTTTCGCTTAGAAAACCAGACATCTGTTTCTGTCAAAAGCTGTTTTAAATATCCATTCCAAGAAGGCACAAGTTGAAGGAACATCCACTTTTTTAGAGCTGTGTACACATCCATTTCCACTTGCATCACAAATAAGTTAGATGAACCAATGAGCTGTTTCATGACGTTTATGCTGAGCTCTTTAAAAAGTTCAACATTCTGATGAGTCATCAAATTGTTTAGAAGCCATTCGAGGCACTTTTTCTTTACAGAATCTAATCCATAGGTCCCTGCTGATGTGTAATAGCCACATACAGTTTTCATATTGTTTCCTTCATTGTCTCACCACATTGTTGTATTAAACCATCCAACTGCAACATACAAGCTGCTGCCAAAATAGCAGTGACTCGACTGGGCTTTATTAGGACGTCGTCACGATACAGTGACCCAAATGCAACTTGCAGGCTTCTATATCAATATTCTGGTCGGGAATCTCCAATTCAATAATATTCGTGCTGGATTCTTTCCAAGAACCACCGAACATACTAGAGAAGTAGCTTGACATAAATGTATTTTATGTAAGCTCCATTCTTCTCCTAAAGCACAAATCTTTATGTCACTATTTTCACCATTCAAAAACAATGTTTGATAAATATATTTGGATGCACTCTTTAATTTTTTCCTCCGAGGGGTGTTGAGCCGCCGCTGCTGCTCGTCGCCTTCCTCCTCCTCCTCCTCTTCTGTTTCCGAGGCGGGATGGCAGTAGCACAAGGCCCCGCTGCTCCGCTTGCGTTTGCGGCTGCGCGGGCAGAAACAGAAGCCTGGCCGGTCGCGTCGCCGCCCGCCTCGGGCCTCCGGGCCGAGACCCCACCCCTGGAGCCATCTCCTGCGGGGATCGGGCTCGCCCGGGGTGGCGCAGCACCCGGCTACTCAGCGAGCCCATGGGACCTGGCTCCCCGGAACTTCCGGGAGCACACTGCAGAGAGCCCCGGGAGCGGGTCTCCCGCCATAGCCGGCCGCCTCGGGCCTCCGCTGCGCCCAGGCGCCTGCCTACAGCGCCCCTTCCTCCGCTTCCCACGCGCAGCCTCAACCGTTGCAGCGGCTGCTCGGGCGTCCATCCTCCGCCCCGCCCGCCGCGTCTCTGGAGCTTAATTTTTGGTTAGCACATATTCTCAGTGTAAAGCGGCTTCCCTCCTTTTGGGGAGATGGCAAATGTATGCAACACATCTTCCCTCTTCTTTAACTCCTTTCCCTCATTTCTCACCCGTCCCTACACCCACTGGGCCCCTTCACATTTTTAAAATGTTTATTCATGTATTTATTATTTATGTAATCTTGAATTTTGGTCTTTATTTCTAGGTTTCTTACATAAGATATAGTACACAATATTTAACTATGTGTCTGTTGCACGTCACTTAACAATCCAGTCTCAGGGTGTATGCATTTTCCTACTAAAGACTAACGCTTATCCATCACCATGGCGGAGTGGTTCAGAAAACTCAGGCATCAGAGGAGGGGAGCCATGAGCAGACCCTCGCCAGACCGTGCGCTCTGGATGGAAGGTGGTTCACAGTGGTGACGACTGCTTGCCTCTGTGTGGAGCAATGCGCGTGGAGACCCAGGAGCCTGACGCACCTGCTGCTCTAGTGCTGGGCTGGCGTTCAGTGGACAGCAGCACATCCATGCTGAGGCTTTCCCGGACAAGATCTCCAGGTGCAAAAGGAGCGAAATCTGTGTTCAGTTCTGAGCCACATTGTCACCAGTATGTGAGTGTTAGCCACAGTGCTAGATACTCAGTTCTTTAGCACAAAGTGAAACTCTTTTGGATCAGAGAGAATCAGTTTGTGTGGCTTCTGTGATGAAAAGCAGAGTGCACAGTGCAAACACTTTCTTCTGCTCTCAGGGAAAATGCCAGAAGTCATCATTTCAGTTGTCTCCGTGCTGCACTCAGAGTAGTTTTTATTTTTCGCCCACAAAGTTTGAATGCATCAACCCGCACCTGCAACATCTCATCAAGAACACAGAATGAAAACACAAACTTCTAAAATGCAATTTTTAAAAAAATCAGTTGCTTTGTGTCTTGATTTTCATTGAATGAGCAAAAGGGTTTTGGCAGATGCAGAAGGAGTGGTGGGTGAGGGTCTTGCTGGTCACTGTGTCCTCAGGTTTGAATATCACCCTGTTAATAATTTCTTTTATTATTTTATACCAAGCAAAACAATGAGCAAAAACAGCATGGCACAGACAGGAGGGTCTCATAAGCACTCATGATGCCTCCCAGGTTGCTCAGATACAGCAGCTGAGGTTCTCTGAACAGTAGAGGATTCTGTCCTGATGGAATGTGTTTACACCTTGTAATGCCCACATTGTTCCTAGCTTAGAATCCTTCCAAATATTTCCAAAATATTTTATCCTTATGGCAAATTCCAAATATTTCAGGACACTTGTACAAAACATGCAACAAATTGAACAAGAAATCTGATACAAAAATTTGTACTTCCCCATAGCAAGCGCAGAAAACTGAATAGAGAACTAAACATAGGCAGTGCATAGTGCACAGGTGTACATAGTAATTTAAAAACAAACCTCAGAAATGAGCTGAACTAATTTGAAATAACTATGGATATTTCTGCTTTATTCTAGAAAACCCATGACTGGGATCTGAGAGCATCTGCTGAACATTCTGCCCAGGGCAGTGTTGATCTCCCTGTTGCGCAGACAGTAGATGATGGGGTTCACGAATGGGGGGACCATGGTGTAGAACATGGCAGTCAACAAATTTTTTAGGGATGGTTTCTTTGTAGTGGGAACTAAGGTAGCCACTGACCCAGAAATGATAAACAAAAGGATAATGGTGAACTGTGGGGTGCAGGTGGATATGGCTTTGTTACGTGCTTCCACCGAACGAATCTTAAGCACAGTTAAAAATATATTTATGTATGAAATAAATATAAAAGCATTACATGATAAATCAAGGCAAACACAGATAACAATGATTACAAATTCAGAAAGCTGGACATCTGGAGATGAAATCCTCAGAACTTGAGGAATGTCACAGAAATATTGCTGGATCACATTGGTCTTGGTGAAGGGCAGCCAGAACAGAGCCCCTGTGTGCATAGCAGAGTAGACCAGGCCAGAGGCCCAGGAGCCAGCTGCGGCCTGGGCACACAGAGTAGGGGTGATGGTGAGCCCATAGTGCAGAGGGCGGCAGATGGCCACGTAGCGGTCATAGGACATGACGACCAGGAATCCAACCTCTGTAGCTGCGAACATTGTAAACAGGAAAATCTGCTCAGCGCACTCTGTTAGGGAGATCGTCTTACTGCCTGTCATGGAATTCACGATCGCTCTGGGACCAACCACTGAGATGCTGCCGAGGTCTAGGAGGGCCACGTTGCTTATGAAAAAGTACATGGGAGAGTGCAGACGTGCGTCTGTTATGATGACAGTGACTGTTACAAGATTCCCTGTCAACGCTCCCAGATAGATCAGTAAGAACAGCACCCCTTGCAGAACCTGGAGCTCCCGGGAGCCTGCGACGTCCATGAGGAGGAATTCTGTGAAGACGGTGAGGTTGCCCATGTCTGCCCACCTGCTGTGGACTCCAGAGTCAGAGGTTACAGCGAGAAGGATATTAGGAGAAGAATGCAGAGCATTTAGTAAAAGAGCAGTGTGGCCTCTAACAGGAAGTCAGGATGGAGTAAATGGACATGAACAGGTTGAGATCCAGCCAGTGCACATTTTCCCGTGTCAGTTTCCTTTCACAAACTGCTAATGCACATTCTATTTCTGCAATCACAAAATGAGACAATTAAACAATAAAGTAAAGTACAGTTGAGTCCAAAGAGTCTTTTACTTATTCAGCCGATTTAAGTGTTTTACAGTTCCACTGGACGCCTCAAGCATTTTGCCATTTTCTTTCGCGTGATTGTCCCCCGAGCCCTTCAGTTAGAGCCTCTGTAGCAACACCTGGGGTTGGGAGCCCCCCATCTGCTCCTCCTGCTCCAGGTCCCAGCTGGAGTTGGCTGTGGTCCCTTGCCTTCTGTGGCTGACTGCTCACAGCAGCTTTTCCCTGACAGACGTAATGCATGGCCCTGAGCTTCCTATGACAATGACTTTGATCTCAGTGACACAAGGCTGGTCACTCGCTTCATTCTCTGCTCCAGGAGCTCTTCCATGCAAGATGGGATTTGGTTTGGGATTTTAAACTTCTATTTTCCTACTGGTATTGTGTAGCTTGTTCCTGTCCTGTACTACCTTATCTGTGTATTTTATGAAAAGAAGATGGAAAAACAAGAAAGAACTTATTGAATTAGTCTTTCTAAATTCAATCTTCTAGGAATGGATTCTAATATCTAATTAGGAGCTCTCTTTCTATCCAGACCTCACCTCTGCTAGCTTTCATAGCGTCTGATAAAATTTTATTATTTTTAAATTATTATTTTAAATTTAATTCATTTACTTGTGCTGGTTTTGAAGCATTTAAATAATAAACAATTGTTTGCAAATCATCTTTGCAGAATTAAAATTAATTATGCAAAAAAGTCTAACTTCAGTGTGAAAATTGTACACATTGACTGCTATTTTAAAAAAACTGATGGAAATTCCTAGCACAATCCCCTCTGCTATCCTGTATATATACTTGCATGATTTTTCTCCCTACTTTTCTTCCTATCTTTTCACCTTGACTAACTCTGTATACTGATATCTGTGAACTAAGCAACTACATTGAGGAAAGAAATGTGTAATACAAAAAATTTGCTTGAATAGCGTCATCTTTGTCTTCTAAATGTATACTATTCCTAATGTCATATCAATTACTCTCTTTAAAATAAATTTTTTAAAAAAGGAAATAAGAGAAAGAAAAAGACGAGAACAAAAAATTGAGATTTCTTGAAAGCAAGAATTAATATTCAATCGTATGTCCAATCATATGTAACTATATTTGTTAATCTGAGCAACAGATTTGATGATAAAAATAGATAATACATCAATCATTGTTAACCAGCTATTCTTGTTTTGAAAATCTGTAACATATATATTGTTGCATGTTACCCTATTTGTGTCTTTGTTTCTGATTTTTGTTCTTGCTTTTGTTTTTACCCTTCAAAATAAAATAAAATTAAAAGAAAAAAGACGTCTAATCTTAGTATTATTTTATTTTGACAGGTGTAAAATGGAAATAAGGTAGAATAATACTGAAAATATTTTCATTGACATTTGTAATATTTTATAGATAATTATTTTGTATAATAGCACATACAAATATGGATTTTATGTGCATGATAAGAATGATTTGTTCACAGTAGTACATTCACATGACTTTCCTATGTCATACAGACAATATCCTACGGTAATCATTCTGCCTGGTAATTGACTGAATTACATGTGGTTTCCTTGTTAGACTTACCTCTCTAGTAAGAGAAAATCTTTGCACACAGAATTTCAGTCCAACAAGCAGTGCTCTCTGATGAAGCAGACAGTGCTGATGTGGTGTTGATCACTGCCACAAACCACGCCAGGGTGGTTGTAAATTTCCTGCATTAAAATAGCTGATGGGGCAATAGAAACCTGGAACCCCATCTCCATCTCTTCTTATCACACATCTTTCCTTTTCAGTGCAAGCAAATCCTCAACTTTCCCTGAGCATAACTCACCTTATGTTACCATTCCTCAGAGAGCATTCCTACCCTTCGCACAAAAGGAAATCCAAGGATTAGTCCTTCTTACTTTCTCAAAATATTGAAGTTATTTGGTCCACAAATTTAAAATGTAGACAACACAAAGAGTGTGAATGGAGATTCATCATAAATTGTGAAATGGGAGATATGTAGTAATATATCTAAAAAATCAACATTATTATTTTATACAATATGAAATCCAGTTACTGTCAAGCTTGACCATAGTAGAACCTCAAAACTTTTTGCTAATAAAGATCTATGTTTATTTACATGGCTTTGTTTCCATGGAATCCGCTCATAAATTTCATTAGATTATAGATTTCTTAGTTACTTTTTGAGTCTAGCTCAAGGAAATACTAAATGTACATGTCCTGATGCTCTTTTCCATGAGAATTTTCCATCTTGATGATTCCTGGCTTTGAGCCTCTGCCACATAGGGAACACAGAACCTAAGAGAACATTTGAAGAAGTAACTAGCAAAATAAAAACTAGTGTCCAAAGCAATCTGTGTCTTCTATGAGTGCACAAACATTATATAAAGCAGAACTAGTCATGTCAGTTTAAGATTTAAAGTACGTATTTCACAGGTTCTTGTGTATGACTAATGTATTCCTAATGTTAATAGTAAAATGTAAATTAATGTGTACAATATTACCTGAGCAGTGAAACAATGAATCTGACTTCACAGAAAAGATTGTTGCTTTTGATCAGTGATAAGGCACTTTACATGTTCCTAACTTCTGCTTCTTTCTTCAGAGAGTAAAATGCAAATTCACTTCTCAAGGAGAGGCCTGGTGGGGACCATAGATAGAGGCCCGCTCTGAAGTAGCTGTGATTCTGGTGAGTATTCTACAAGTACGTGTTGGTTGACAGTTCTGATGAGCTCAGGGACCTGGTGACTCCAGCCTCCAAGGGGCCCACATTTCCTCCAGCCGTTAATTAGCTAAGATGCTTTGGCCACGCCACTGAGACTCATTATAGTTCCAGTAAAGAATTTAAGGAAGTAGTCTATATCTGTGACACTTAATAAAAAGGAAATGTACTTCATGCAGTGCTGGAAATTCAATGAATTTTCAAGTTCAGAAATGATTAAAAAATTAATTTAGTTACATTACAGTAAATCCCTCAAATATTGGCTTTGCACATTGTGCTGTGATTGGAAGGGGGTGTTCTATGCTTTGGCGTTTTCCAGAGAACCTATGCACCATGTTACAAAAGCATAAACCAGTCACACAGCGCCAAACAGTAGAATCAGAGCATGAAATCTTTATTCATAAGGCTTTAGTTCCAATTATAACTTAAGAAATTAAATGTTTTGTGTCCCTGTGGAATGAATTGAGAATATGAGCAACTATATAAAAGTTCAATCAGAATTCCCCTTGCCTTTTTCTTAGTGGAATTTTATAGCTGTAAACTCACACATTAGGAAAACAGAACGAGAACAGGTAAATACCCTAATGCTGTACCTCAAAAGTCTAGAAAATGAAGAGCAAACCAAACACAAAGCCCAAAGATGGGAGGAAATTATAAAGATTAGAATACAAACTAATACAATCAAGAGAAAGAAAATACATAAATTAATGAATGAAAACGCTGGTTCTTTGAAATGTTAAATAAAAGTGATAAGCCCCCAGCTAATCTCATCAAAAAGAGGAAAGAAAAAAGTCAAATTCAAGCAATAAGGAACGAAGAGGTTGAGATTATCACAGACCTAGTGGAAATTAAGATCATTAATAGCTATTTTGAGAATCTTTACTCACAGAATTGAGGAGACAGAAGTAATGGACAGATTCCTAGAAATGTACAAATTACCAAAACTAAATCAAGAAGATATAAGAACTGTCAACACAAAACAACAACAAAAAAAGAAATAAAAATTGAAAGGTAAAACACAGTTAAATGGAAAGTGAGAATTTAAGGATTAAATAATGAAGAGAGAGAAAGGAGAAAAGTTAGGAAATAGGGCAGGGGCAAAACCATACATGTGTATAAACAAGATGGTTAAGGCAGTGGTCCTAAGAATGTCTATCAGGCTTTTAAAAATAGCAGTTAATGGGTAGAATTCTCACCCTGATCAACTCTATAAGCTGATATCTGTGAACTAAGCAGCTACACTGAGGATAGCAATGTGTAACACTAAAAGCATCCTTCAAATGCCTGTCATTTTGGTCCTCTAATTGCATACTACTTCTAAGGTCATATCAATTATTGCTATACTCTCTTTAAAATAAACATTTGTAAAAAGAAGGTAATAAAATGAAACAAGAGACATGAAAAAAGTGATGGGATTGTCCTGCTACAATGTTATTATGGTTTGATTTCTAAATTTCCACGTAAAAATGTGTAATTGTTTTTTTTTTTCACATTCTATAAGGATTTAATGTTTAGAATATCCATGGTTGTTGGAAAATACCAATTTCATGTTATTCCTAAGGCATTTGATATTCAGACAGTTAGTGATGTTAAGCTCAACTGCCTCTGTTACAGACTAATATCATTGAGCTTCTCTTCTGCATGGTTAACAACTAAAATCTGCAGATCAAAAATTATAGAAAAAGAAGGGCTACAAAGATAGTCAATATTTTGGCTTTAGCTCTTCAAGGTCAGTGAAGACTTAGCACATAAGAGAACCTGTGCTGTGACATCCTGTAACTCGGTGGTGTCCCAAATTTTCTGATCAAGGAGATTATGGGGCTACAGAGGAAAGTGATCCATGATGTATGGTGTGCCTAAGGAGAGTCACCAAGAGAGAAAAAATTCTCTCAGGCTTTCACAGACAGCAAATTGGTCAAGTAATGGCTGTGACTCAACCACATGGCTGACACTGACAAAAGATCTAGAAGGTGCTGTACATGTTTTCAGGGTAAATCTTGAGGGGATTAGACTGACCTTGTCAGATAC